GGCTCCCCCCCCCCCCAAGAACTCTTGCCTCTTGGCAAGTGAATTGCCCCAATATAAAAGCATTGGGAGGGAAAAGTGAGCTGCAGAGTGAAAAGGCAATCCACAAATAATCACTCTTTTCTGCCTTTGATTGTGCCAGATTTTTTTGTGTGTGTGGCAATTGTTTTCTTTTTCGCTTAGAAGAGGTTTATGGTCCAGTGTCTGTCATGAGTCAGCCCCTGTCTTGAGGTTGCAGTTGTATTTCTCTCTGGAGTTCCTAGAGGTGATGTTATCTTTTGTTCACTCAGCAGTGTGGTGGTTCCTGAGAGCATCTGTCACTGTAGGCATTACAAGATGGATGGGTCTCCAGTGAACTGCTGGTTGAAGCAAATGGTGAAAATAAGAAAAGACAAGGGGCTACAGGGTCTGCAGAGTGGACAGACAACAAGGAAATACTGTTTGTTAGAAATCAAGAGTAAGCTGAGCAATAGAGGAAGAGAGAGCAAAGATGGATTATATGTCATTTTATAAACAACTTGGAAATCAGAGTCTTTTGGTGGCTATCGTGATCTGAGGGGGACATCTGCATCATGGTAAACAGTTCTGTGCTTTGGATTTGCAAAATGTGTTCGGACATTGGCAAAAAAGTCTGGGAAGAGTGTACTGGAAATTACAGTGGTACGGAATGTTTTATGTGAGAGTGTTGCTGTTTGGAGAATTAGTAGTCTTTTAAAATGTAAAGATTAAAACATTTATTAATCTAAATTTTTCTTTATATTTTACTTTCTCTTTTTTCTTTTCTTCCTTTATTTTTTTTTCTTGTAAACAGCTGTAGATATTAAAATGTTTGAAAAGTTTTAGCCACTTAACTAACATCCTTACTGTTTATACTGAAACTTCTTTGACATTTTTGCAGGGAGGTTCTGAAAATTCTATGCCCTTGCCTTAGGGAGGCTGGGGCAGATTTTAAGTTATTTTAAGCAACCTTCTATTTAATTTAATGGACTCTTTGATGAAAGAAAGAAAATAATTGTTATTGATCTGTCAGAACAAGGTGGAGATTTTCTATATTTAGAAATTCATTTTGTTGGCAAAAGTCCAATCTGTAAGTCCTGACTGGTACAGAGTCCCTCCTGTGTGAGCAAAGGAAAAGAAAGAAGCTTGGTCAGAAAGTAGGAAAGAGGAAGAAGGGCTAGGAGGCAGTGTGTTTGAAAAAAATGATTTTGTCAAACTTTTTGACACTCGTCTATGAAAAAGACCATAGGTTGGAAGGCAAAGAAATTAAGATGATTGGAAGCTTTAAGCTATACAAATGGTAGAGTATCTTCCTTCTCTATGGGTGTAAATAATAGATGAAAGAGTAAGAGTGACAACAAAGGATCAGGCCGTTTAAGAGAATGTGTGCAGCCTGAATAGGGGTCTGTGGCCCAGGGCCAAAGGTCTTAGCTTTGAGTGTAATTAGAAGAAAATACAAAAATGTCATTACTAGCAGGTGAAGTGTGCAGCACGTGGCCAAAAATTAGCAATTTTAGACTCTGAAGCTATTGGAATTGGATTACTGACCTTTTTTAAAAATCATTAAGGTCCTTGTGGAGTCATATAGTTTCATTGGCAGTAATGCAGTTTGACCTTGTTGACCATATGGGGTAATCTTGGGTTTGGATGTAGGTAGCAAAACTCCTGCCTTACAAAAGGATGTCTATTTGTGTGTGGGTAGGTGAGAAATACATGAGTTTGAAAATCTGGGTTTTGCATTTTTATTTGTTCTTTTGCCTGAAGATATTCTTCTGACAGTGAGAGGTAAGATAAAGATTTTTATTTCAAAATCTAAAATGGTACTTTTCTCTTGTTCCTTTCTTTCACGTTGACATAAAAGGGGAGTAAGGTGAAAAAAAAATTTTTTTTTAGAAAACATAAGTTGATATTACTTTACATATTTTAGTGCTATAAATATGCATATTAAAATTAGTACATTCTTAGGAAAATCTTTTGTTTTCTCTTTAGACACAGTAACAAAGGAATAGAAAGACTTCTAAGTTATATATAAAAATCAGTGACAAATAACTTTTATTTCACTTGATGTTTTATGACTATAGGCAGTGGTTTATATTGACCATAATCTACCTAGAGAACAGAATAATATGTACACTGTAATTTTCACCCAGGTATATAATTATGATTAGTTAGTCTAAAGGGTAGGAAAACAGTAGGTCTTTCTTCTGGCAGACTTTTTTTCTTGTATATTATTAAAGCATTAGTTTCAAAAAGTAGAGAACAATTTTAATCAATATAAGCTATATTTATGTTTTTCATATTTCTTTGAGGAGGTAAATTTTGAGAAGCATCAGAGATTATAAAACGTAAACTTAGAATAAGAAAATTATCTTCTGCTAATTTTATTCCTAAAAATAAAATAAAAGTCTGTGGGCTTTTGGCAATATGGGAACACCTGTCAAAATGCAGACTTGACAGATTTATTCATTCTACACTTAGAGGGGGGACATCTTCACAACAGAAATTATTTTTGAATATATATAATTATGAATGATTATTTGGGGAGTATTGACAAAGGAGAAATATCTGTATTTGCCAGTTGTGATGTATATGGGATTGTGTAAGATTTTGATAATTTATTTCTCACTGTAATTTTTGTGGAACTGTAAACATTTAGGTTATTGTATTCTGGAATATAATGCATCTGTTAATTAACTTGTATTTATGTATATATTGTTATTTTTTATGTTTTTGCAGGTACAAAAAAGCTTTAAACAAGTAAAATCTAGGCAACAGGCTCCCTGAGGTATTGACATCCCAGCTTAATCATGAGCGTGATTCAAAAATGTTAATAAATAAACGAAGGTATTGTACAATTATAATATGCCCCCCAATTTTTCAAGATCAAGTCTGTTTTATAAAGCTATATTTAGAAATTAAATAAAGCTACTATATTTGGTGCTTAAACTGATTAACCAGATATTTCTATGAACTCTCCTTCCTTTTCCTCCCCATCTGCTTTCCCCTCCCTCCCCATCCTCTCCACCAAAAAAGAAAAGGGAAAAAGTATTCAGCAAGAAGTTTTTCCCCCTGCATCAGCCTCTTTGTGTCCTATTTCCTATGTACCTAAATTAAGATAATTAGAATTCAGTTTTCGATTCCCTTTTGTGAATTCTGGTTTTTGTCTTTCAAATTGTCTAATAAGAGATTATTAATTACCTAGATTATTGTCCTCTGCAGAAAAACCCCCAACCATATTTAAAATTTGTATCATACTACACTATCCTGAAATGTATGTTTTTAAAATTTTATGAAAGTTTTTTTTTTTTTTAAGAAGGCTTGTGACTTAGAAAGGAAAAAAAGGGTGATATTGCCCTTTTTCTCCCTATGTCAAAGAAAATCAAAAGTGAACTTAGAATTGAGCATTTAGGGGTACTATTTTAGTTAACCCATGTCTGTCAGAGCAGAACCCAAGACTCTCTCTCCTTTTGGAAGTTACATTGTGCTTAAATAGCCTGGCGTTTCCAAGAGAGGCCAAAGATCTTTTCCTCTTTTATGACCTGTCGTATCCTTTTGAGGCCAGAAAGAACAAGAGGGTCATTGCCGCTTCAGCCTGGGCCCTGTTTGTTCCTTCATGGTGTCCACACAGATCCTGAAACCTAGTATTGGCCTAACATTTGGGCCTGGAACATCTGGAAAGTGGTCAGAGAGGGAGCTGAGGAGACAGAAGAGAGAGAACTGTTGCGTTTTGTTACACCAGGTGCTAGGAGGAAGCAACATTGGCCTTTTTGATATGGGAGGCAAATTCTGTGGGCCCTGGAGTTGGGCTTCAACAATTGAAGAGGTCAAAGGACAGCTGAGTGGGGTCAGTGAGACACCATGGGGTGTATTTTGTTACTTAGTAAAAGGAGCAGCCTCCTAAAACCTTAAAGGATTCTCTTGAAAATCTGTGTTGTGAAAAGGTTTTATGAGTCTCACGGCAAAAACTCCTGATTTATCTAAGGAATGCTTGCTTTTGTCTAATGGAAGGATAATCCTTACCAAATGTTGGCACCTACTATAAGAGTCAATATAGGTCTGAAAGAACAGTTAGGGTTTGAAGTGTACTTTGCTTTCCAAAATGTTTTTCATTTTCATGTTTGTCTCTTTCTTTCCTTGGAGCAGAAAGTGGGGGAGAGAGAGGGGTAAAGAATAAGCCTACATTAATTTAAAAATTGTTCTAACAAGCTTTCGACTGACCCACAAACAGGATATTATAAACCTTTAAAAACACCAATATTTGTGAACTCTAAAAAGTTGTCTTTCAATTTATTTTAATGTATAAAGGAAATAAATGGCTCAGGAAGTTTAATGTTTCTGGATTATAGAAGATTTTTAAAAAATTTTAGGTGTATTTCATAGAAGTGGGTATCAGTTGATGAATAACTTTGAACCTTGTGCTTCTCCCTGCATGTGTTTCTTGCACATTTTCTAAATTAAGAAGAAAATGCTAGAGTCAAGAATAGAGAATTTAAAAAGCAAATATAATAAAGAATTTTCTCTTCTGAGGGAATGGAGAAGGGGAGTGGAAATCTGCATGTTGTAAGAGCTTTCTTTCCCACAGCCCATGACCTCAATATACCACTTATATGATTGTGGATACCTCTGAAAGGTGTTAGCCACTGGTAGGTAGGTAGTGAAAGGAGGCTGTTAGAGGAATTTGGCCACGGTTCCAATTTATACACTATATGCATGTACATGTACATAGAGCATATATTACAATATTATTGGTAAGAGCAAAAAAGATAAAATGATGAGAAGTATACAGTAAGCTTTGTTTAGCATTTTATTACTAATTTATAAATTTACAATATGTGAATTACTTATGTGTGTGATTTTTTAAAATTTTCAATTCTTTTAAATAATTACTCATTTTAAAGCAACATATACCTAAAAATGTAAGGCTTAGTATGCAGTGTGTTCTGTGTCTATTTTCTCAAGGTTAAAGTGCCTTTCAACAACTAATTTAGAAACCTAAGTGTAGTGACTGATAATTGCCTAGAGAAAACCCACAGCTGTTTAACTAGCATTGAAATTGTGGCAAAACTGACAAATACAATTAGCAATGTTAATAAGAAGATGGGAAGACAGGGGCAGATGACAGAGTGGAAAAATGAAGGCAGAAGGAGTAACAAAATCCATAGAAGAACAGAATGTTCAGTTTGCTTTGGATTTCCAGTGCTTTTTCTTTTAAGCTAAATCCCTTTTTTACTGCTCTTTGAATGGGTGTTTTTGTTTTGTTTTTGCAAGTTAAATAATTCAGAGACATTTGTTCAGTCCCTAATTCACATCTGATTTTGAAAGATGCCGGGCAGTTGTTTGGCAGTAGTACCTAAGAAAAACAGTCAGATTTTGCTGATTCTAAAGCACAGTTTTATTTGTGGTGCTTTTAAAATCAATTTTGAAGGTATTTCTCTTTGACTCTAATTACTGTGAGTGGGGATTCCTTTACCCCTCTTTGTACCCTTATAATTCTTATTAGTCATCCAAATACATTACAAAGGAGACCAAAGCCCTGTTTCTAGATTTAGTGACCCAGTATTACCAAAACAAACCCTGCAGAAGTCTTTAATGTGTTATTATTAATTATATTTATCTGGTTAATGTTCTTAGCTCACTTTCCAAACAACTTCTCAGGAAAATTAAATGGGTATAGGTAAATAAGAGAAATTAAATGAATATTATATGAAAAATATTTAGTCACCTGTGCCCTTCCCAGTGAAATGTGGGGAATTATTATAGTATCTTTTGAAATTCTCCTCTTCATTTGGGAAATTGGCTTTTGCCTCTGGTGTTTTATGCAGATTTTAATGATTGTTGTGATAAATCCCCAGAAGTTTGTTCTCTGAAACCATAGAGACTGGGAACTCTCTGAATGTGGCAGCCTTGATGGATGTGGTAAACCACACTTTGGAAGCATTTCGCCTTATTTAATGTTTTCTGTTCTGGATTATTGACTCTTCTCCCGGTTGAAAAATTGGTCTCTGGTGACATGGTAGAGGTCACATGTTGCCTATTATTGTTTTGCTTCTTTGATCTTACACAGGGATTGCCTCTGGTAATTATACTAGTTCCAGAGAGTCTTGATGAGATGTGTTTATTTTACAGAAGAATTTCTGGTATTTCAAGGAGGAAGAAAGTAAAGATTTCCAGTAGTAACATGTAACTCTTTGTTACAAAGGAAAAATAGAAAAATAGCATTGTACTTTATCTTTTAATTATGACAGCTTTTAATAATAATTATTAAATGAGTTGGCATATTACAATAATTATTTCTGTAACAATTTAAGATATATTGCATATCTGTAAGTATATTGGTAAAAATGGTTAATTATAAAATTAAGTTATTAGGGCTGGTTTTTATTTCAGTACCAAAGATACTTTTGCCTTCTAAATGTACAGAACTATTAGACTGGAAATTTTATATTTTAATTTGTTTGCATTTTCTAAAGATATCTTAGCAAGGAGGATGAATAAAAATGAAATAAAACTTTTGTTTTGAATGCATGGTTAGCTTTGTGATTTTTGGAATGTGCTTGGAAAGAGATAATATCTCTTCAAATCCATTTAATGTATAATTGGATAAGACACACAAAAAAGCTCAATGTGTTCATTTTTTAAAATTCTATTCCCATTTTTTAACAAAATATTTCCCCCCCAAGAACTCACAGTCCAATAGGGGAGTCAGACAAATACTAGATCCAACTATTAAGAGTGACAAATGTCAGTTTAAAGAAGAAATGAAATGCAAAAAGAGCACAAAAGAGAACTGTGAATATACGCTTGTTTTTAATTTTGGATTATAGATTCCACAAGAACTAGCAAGAACCATGTTTGATTTCTTTGTCTAGTAGTCACACATTATCACTCTCATCAGTGAATATATATATATTTATATATATATATTTTAATCGTCACCTGAGATATGTTTTCATTAATTCTAGAGAGAGAGAGAAAGGGAGAGGGGTAGAGAGAAACATCGATGTGGGAGAGAAACATCGATTGGTTGCCTACAGCACTCGCCCCAACCAGGGATCAAACCTGCAGCCTGGGTATGTAACCTGCTGGGAATTGAACCCATGACCCTGTGACGCATGGGGTGGTGCTCTAACCACTGAGCAACAGCAGCCAGGGAATCATTAGTGAATACTTTTAAGAGAAAGGGCATATAAACAGTGATGCCTATATCAAGTAATTTTCTTACATAGAGCCAAAGAATCTGCTGGCTCTAAGGGACATTAGTGTTTTGTATATATCATTGTAAAATTTCCCAATATATAATTTATATATAATATCAAATAGCAGCTTTTGGAACTTTTACGTTGATGGTCATTTGTTCCTAAAACAACGCCCCAGAATCTACTGTAGTGCCCAGTACATAAAAGAGAAGGAATGTATTTTATCTTAGTAGCCTCAATGTAGCACAGTGCTTGGAAAAAACACACAAACCTTACTATTCTAACATTTTCTGCACATTTATTTTGTGCCAGGCACTATTCAGAAAACTTTCTCTGTGTGTAAAATTTCACGTATTCTCACAAAAACCTATGACATTAGTTGTATTACCCCATTTTACAGATGAGAGACTAAGCAAATTGCCCAATTTCATACAGGTTAGTGGGTACAGGATCTGAATTAAGGTCAACTGACTCCAGAGCCTATGTGCTTAACCACTTTGATAGTAGGATTTCTATAAATGCTGTCTGGCTGGGTGGATGCTTGTTAAAGTTTGGAAAGTGGGTGACAATATCAGTAGAGAAAAAGGTTAACAGAAAACTGACAAGTTATACAAAGTTGTCTTTTTAGTACTATTCCTGGCAAATAGGCAATAAATTGTGCCTTAAAAAAACAAACCTCAAACAAAAAACAACTATATACACATACCCCACACATAGAATTTATCATCTTCACTTTCACCTTTTTCCCTATTTCAAATAACATATTTTAGTGGGGGGAAAACATGGGCATTTGAGTCTAAATTTGAACCCTGGTTTCATCATTTACAAACTGGATAAGCTTGGCATGTTGCAGAATCTAGATCACTTGCTCTGTCCACCTGTCCTCTCATTATGAATCTGCTTGTGGTTTTGTGCACTTGTTCGTCTATCCTATAAGTGAAAGTTAGCTCTAGAGGTTGGACTACAGTCATTACACCCACTGGCAGGAATACTTCCTAGGTGATGTGTGTGTTTCATATTATCTCCCATGGAGAGGCACACAGCCTCTCATTGCCTCACTTCTAGTGGTGCTAAACTTGATCAGTGGGTTCAGCAGGTGTCAGCCTGATCCCTCTGTTATAAAGTTCCCCATCAGTTTTTTATCTGATGGTGTCACTTATTATCATTGTCAAAGTGAATTTTACATTAAGGGTTGCAATGTGGTAGTTTTATAATTCTGTCATTCTTTCCACATTTATTATAGTTAGAATTCTTCATTTAAAACACACACACACAAAAAAAAAACTCTTTCTCCATAACAGGACTATTTGGTAACTTTGAAGTACAGGAAGAGCAGGATAAATGCTTCACTCTTCCCTTTTCCTTGTAGTAGGGTTCAATTAGGTGCTTTGTTTTTGTTTTATTTTGTTTTCCAAAAGGAGTGCTCTCCTTGAATATCAAAATTAATTTGTGAGTTTTTACATTTTAAATATGCTTCAGTCCATTGCATTTTTTTCCTTTTATGTTGAATTTCTCTAATCTTTGGCCCATGGGAACACTTCATGTTGACGCCTATGTCTTCTGACATGACCCATTAGTCCTTGACAGCTTCTTTGCTCTCTGGAACAAGGTGTTCAAGGCTCATCTTGTGTATTTCCTGCCCTAGACCTGAACTGGCCATACCTTCTAGGAGTCTTGATTCTTTTCAGTGGGAATGATATTATTAAACCACAATCAGGGTACTGGGAAGTGCTTATTGTTATTGAATTGCCATTGCTTCTTGGACTTTTTAGTAGATAATGCTTGGAAATGCAAATTTGAAACCTTTTAAAAAATGAGTTATTACTTAATATATATATCCCCATCTACCTGCTCCATAGCCTAACTAGCTGTTAAACCAGGCAACCCTAAAGTAGTGTCTTAGATGCAGTTCTTTTTCTTTTAGCATGTCCATGATTTATTATTTATTGATTTATTTTTAGAGAGAGAAACAATTGATTTGTTGTTCCACTTATTTATTCATTTATTGGTTAATTCTTTTTTAAAAAAAAAATATATCTTTATTGATTTCAGAGAGAGGAAAGGAGAGGGAGAGAGAGACAGAAACATCAATGATGAGAGAGTCATTGATCAGCTAGCCCGCAGCCCGGGCATGTGCCTGGATCCTAGGTGGACGCTCAACCGCTGAGCCACGCCTGGCCAGGCTATTGGTTAATTCTTGTATGTGCCTTGACTGTGGATCGAACCTGAAACCTTGGCATATTGGGACGACGCTCTAACCAACTGAACTACCCAGCCAGGGATTATGCATTTTTTAATTAGTGTTTTTCTTGTTCTTTCTTGTCACTAACTGTTATGATCCTTTTAAAAATACTTTTTAAAAAATTGTTTATCTCCTCCAGATAGTTATTATTAAAACTTAACCTTTACAAATAGCCAACTGCAGTACCTTGAAAATATTTATCTTTGGTCAAAAGAGAAACTTGTTGAGGGAGTGCAGTTGAGTCAGTGCAAGTATACCGTAACTGGGGGAAATAGTTTGGAGTATTATGCTAGAAGGCTGTAGTAGAAATTCCAACTCTTAATGAGAGGTTCTCAGTCCAAGCACTGGAATGAATTTTATTTTCCCTGGAATCCTGGAGAACCAGAAAGGGGCAGAGGGAATATTCACTTTGCAAATTCACTTGTTCTTACCATCTTTTTTGAATAGAAGTGTATTTTTCAAAACTGCAAAAATAAACTAACAAGCAAAATAGAAACAGACTCATAGAGAACAGATTAACAGTTGGACTGTTAGAGAACAGACTAACAGAGGAGAGGGCGTTTGTGGGGCTGGGGGAAAAGGTGAAGGGATTAAGGAGAAAAAAAAAACCATCTCATACACATAGACAAAGCAGGATGATTACCAGAGGGGAAGGGAAAATGGAGGGAGATAGAAGAGAGTAGAGTATAGGGGGATGAATGGTGACAGAAGGAGGCTTGACTTGGGGTGGTGAACACGCAGTACAATATACAGGTGATGTATTATAGAATTGTACTCACAAAACCTATATGATTTTATTAATGTCACCTCAACAAATTCAATAAAAAATAATAAAGAACAGCACAAAAACCAAAAATAACTACATGTTCAAGGATAGCACTGAATTGTCAATGAGAAGGGATAGCGTCATACTAAGCACTAAAGAAGTCTCAAGTCAGTTCTGTAATTCTTCACATTATCATTTTTAACAATGCCCAGTTATGTTTTCATTTGGAATAAACTTGGTCAGTTCCTTTCACTCTACCAAATCTCTCCTTGGTTACTTTTCTTTGTCTTCTTCTGAGTATTGCTAATGCTCTTGTAGGATTATGTATGTCTTCTATGAGTCATCACCACTGGGTAATGGCTCCCTCTCCTGCTGAGCCCAGATGCGTACACCGGGTCCTTCTCAACCATTCCTCCAGGGACTTCCTCCAGGGAGCCAGTCAGAGTTGGAATTCCAGATGGAATTTAATATCTATCCCTCACTTTGTTGGGAAAAGTAGGGCCTAGATATTCTCAAAATTGCCTTTCTTGAAATGAGATTTACCCAAGTTGAGCCTATATATTACTATAGAAGTGCAGTATTTGTCATCACATGGCTAGATACTGAGTCTTCGGTCCAACCCTTACCAGTTGTGTGATAGTGGACAAAGTCACTTGGCTTCTCCAAGCTTTAGTTTTTTAATCTATGAAGTGGGAAGAGGTCATACCTACTTCAGAATACTGAGGATTAGGTAAATAATCTTTATAAAGTGCTTAGTGTACTGCCGAGCTCAACAGCTTCTCAAACTTTTCATCTCAGAGCCCCTTTATACTCTAAAAAACTGAATTTTATTTATGTGGATTATATTTATTAGAAATTAAAACTAAGAAATGTTTATTAATTTAAAAATAATAAACCCATCATGTATCAACATAACATATTTTATGAAAAATAGCTATTTCTTTAAAAAAAAAGTTAGTGAGAAGAGTAGTCTATCTGCATTCAATCTGTTGCAATGCTACACATCATGCAGTCTCTGAAAAATTTTACTGTACACATATGAGAGATGAGAGTGAAAAAGGCAAATAATATCCTAGTAATAGTCTGAAAAGGGTTTTGACCTCATGGACCCCAGAAAGCGTCTCAGGGACCTCAGACCATACTTTGAGAATTGTTAGCCAACAGTTAGCACCCAATAAATTGTAGTTATGTGGGAAATTTTATAACTAGAAAGCTCTATACAAGTACTAGTGATGAGAATTAAAGGCCATGACTTCAGAACTTCTTACTATAATCTTCTCCTGAAGAGTCTCAAATAAGATTGTGGTTCAGATGGGGCAAAAGACACAACAGTGTTTTCAAATAAATGCTGGTGCTACATAAATTAGTCCTCTGAGTTTAAAAGGCTCAAATCTTGCTTTCAGAAATTTGTCAATTAAATATATCATCCTAAAGCTTTCTCCTTTTTTTACAGAGAAAAGTCTTTCTTTCCCCCTAGGGTAATAAGATCTTAGTAGAGAGAGAAGTAATTAGAGATTTATTCTGAAACCATTGATAGAGTTGGTATGGGGTTATGGTAGCCCACCAGTTTTAAGGTGGAGGTGTGGCCCAGTTGTCACCAGGTTGGGCTTCACAATTGACAGGTCAATCTCGATTTACTGGTTGGAGAACCTTGATGTAAAGCATTTATTACTGTTTGATTCTCAGATACAAGATCCTTTAAAGTGGCTTTTGAAATGTGTTTGGACTGAAAACAGCAACATGACATGATAACTAATAATTTATACAAATTGTTATAACAAGATGTATTTATAGTTCATATCTTAAGATACATGAATATAGTTTATTTCAGCTATATATGTACTTTGCAGATATTTGGTCCTCTATATAAATTTTCTTCTTTCTTCCTCTTTTTTGGGGGCAATGCTGATGTAGACAATGGGGAATTCATATGCTGGGCAACTGAAATCTGCTCGGTTTGAGGAAGCTCTCCACAATTCCATAGAAGCCTCTCTGAGATGTAGTAGTGTGGTACCACGGCCAATTTTTTCCCAACTGTACTTGGACCCTGACCAGCATCCATTCTCACCTGCAGGTAAGTTTCTCAATCCCACACATTCCTAGACTCCTTTTAAAAGAAGTGGGCCTTCTAAATTGGGGACCTCTGAAATAAACTGGTTAATTGTTAGAAAATGCTAGTCTACTTGTTTTCAGATGTCTTTCAGAACTATGAATTTTTCGTTTGGTTATCTTTCCTAAACATCTTTTTTTTTATTAAATTGATTTATTTTTTAATAAAATAAAATAAAACGTGATTATTTTTTAATTATGTAAAAACGATTTATTTGCTTACCCAGATGTAAAACCTAAGGTGGAGGATCTGGATAAAGACTTGGTACACCGCTACACTCAAAATGGAAGCCTGGATTTTTCTAACAATCTAACAGTTAATGAAATGGAAGATGATGAAGATGATGAAGACATGTCTGATTCAAATAGCCCACCAATTCCTTACTCACAAAAACCTGCCCCAGAAGGGTCTTGCACTACAGATGGTGGGTTTCCATTTTGTGTTTTTTTTTCCCAATCCCTCTAATATTGCCTGACTAGTTTCCAATCATTAGATGTGGTGCTCAAGGCTAGAAAACAGTAATTACTGAAAGGAATGAGGAATAATTATGCACTTACTCATGTTATCTCCTATGACTTCATAGCAGGTGTTATAAGAAAGACAAGTATTATCACCCCATCTTATAGATGAAGAGACTAAGATTCACAGCAGTTACTGGCTTTTCCAGATGGTATGTGACAATGGCAGCCTAGACCCAGGTCGCGTTTTTTCTAGTACTCCAGGTACTTCCTGCAAGAATGGTACTACTTTAGGAACTTTTAAAATGTTTTCTTTTCCTACTTCTTTCTTTTCTACTCTCAAAATAATAACAGAGCTATCAGATGCTGTATATTTACCTTTTCCATTTATTTTGAACACTCATCCAAATGTTGTTATCTATAGAAGAGAAAAACGCACATGTTTTGATAATCCAGTTTTATTTTGTCAACCACCTCTTCTACCAACACTCTAACCGCACTTTTAAAAAGAAGATCCTAATCATAATATAAAACATTTCAGTATTTCATGGTTTTGATGATACCACAACTTAAATTATACTCTATTTTCTGCATTTCGTGGTATACAGTGCTGTTTTCTGGCCTTCCAACCCTAATTAGTATGTGGATTCTATTTTATCCATATTAGACAGAGTATAACTATTATACCCAGACTGACTTGAAAATCTTGAGGGTAGAAGGAAGAAGAAGAGGAGGGGGTAAAATTTCAGGACATTCCCTCTACAAAGTTTGAAGTGAAAATAATCTGGATAAACTAGAGATTCAAATATGCCAAGACAGATGAATGAGTTTGCACTGTTTGAAAGTTTTATTTTTTTCTTTGATCTCTCTCTCTCCCCCTCCCCGCACCAATTCTCTATCTCTATCTCTCCCTCCTCCTATTTGCTCTCCCCCCCTCCCTCTCTTTCTGCCTCCCTCCCTCCATCCTTCCCTCTCATCTGATAAACTACCTAGGGGATTAGGAAACCTGAGTAATCTTCCTTGTAGTTTATCTTTGCTTGCTTCACTACAGGTGGTCTCTAACGATTAAGTACTACTGCTCTTGGAGTTGGGCCTACTTCCAGCACATCATTTGTTATGAATTTGCTTCCACATAATTGGTTTCTTTTGCCCAGACTTAATATAGTATAATACACATGGATTTACTCATTACCGATGTATGTATTACAGACCTTTAACCCTGTAGAGGTGTGGGAGGTGACTGGCATCTGGTTTCCACTTACCTGTTTTATGTCCCTTTTCATGCCTTTTATTTAATTGGTCGATCAGTAACAGCTAGAAGTGGAAATAATGCTTAAAATATTGTTGGATTGTCATCAAGAATCTTGTTCTGTGTAAGAATTAAATAGAAGCAGAATAAAAGCTTTAGAGGATCATTGTGAAATATCAAAATTTATACCAAAAATGGGGGAGGAGTTCCCCTATTTTTCCTGTGCTCTAGGTATGTTTTTAGACTACCTTTGGGGTGTCTGGCATCATTGATATACTATATAACCACGTACAGAAGGCTGTTTAGGACTCACCAAGATATAAACTCAGTGATCTAGCAGATAGCAAGTGATTCTGTGAAGTATAAGAGAAGGGTAATAGTTATTATAAAGTTAAAGGAAGAAACTTAGAGGAGCATTTTTTCTAAGAAAAAAGCTATTTCACCTAAGCACAAGATTCATATTCTAAGACAATCCCAAGATACTAGCTACACTTAGATTCCATCAGCTACTTTGGTTTCTTATAATTAATTACATGTCCATTATTTGTTTTCCCCCTTTAATTCACCTAAGGGTAGGCATTAAAAACAAAAGACATCATTTATAATTTAATAATTTATAGTTCATCCATGGCTCTTTCAATTTGGCTCATTCTAAGGTCGTTCTAAGAGTCTTCTCACTTAAAGCCCTGAAATTTTCCTTATAAAAATATTAGGGAATAGGGCAATGTAATGCTGGACTAGCTTCAGTGGAGCACCTTCCTGTCATGGGAAATCCTCTATTTACCTAAGGCTTAAAGGAAGCTGAAGCTATTTTTAGAGGTAATTTAGATAAGCAGATACTTAACACCTGATGGACTTCTGGGGGTTACCATTCAGATGTAAATTTTGGTTGCTAATTTCTTATGTAAATTATTGGAATAGTGTAGGTTCCTACCCTGCTGGGAAGCAGTTGATTGTCTAAAAGGGTGAAGGGCAACCAAATTTTCGGCCTCCAAATACTGCCTTGATTACTTTAGTTTGTGTTTACAGCTGTTTCAGTAAACTTTGCCCTCCTCCCATTTAGATTATTCCCGTAACCTTCAAGTTGGAGATAATTGGAGAATGCAAATCTGTTCTGTGAAGTGAAAACCTTGGCTACTTTTCTTAAGAAAATGCAGATGGAGTTTATTAAAGAGAAGCCCTCTACTATTTTTTAAATAATTTATGCTTTTTGCTCTATGTGATGAAAAATTTGGGGGCTGCTGCTTGCAGAATTTCTCTGCAAATGACACGCTTCTGTCCCACATAAAAAGCCAAATTGAAATATAATCACTAAATATTTGACTTAACATTGCTGGTTTTGGTCCTAGAAACATACTGGTACATTTTATATAATCTTATTTGAGTGGGGATCTAACTTTCATATCTAGCAAACAGCACCTTTAGGCATAATTGTAAAATTATTTGTTTTGTGTTCATTAAAAGAATCAGTGTTCCCTGAGTTTTCCAACAAATTATCCTGGGCATAAATTAAGCAACATATCAATACAATAAAAAACAACTTAAAATTATGTTATAGTAAAAATCACACACAGGCATGGTTTTCAACCGAGTAAGTCCTGAGTTCATTTAACTAGTTTGTACTATCCCTACATGTGTAGGATGGAAGGTCCTCAGAACATTCTGTTTTAAAAGTAGGATATTAGAATTGTTATTTACTAGGTTTTAGAAATTGGTAATGATATCTATTTAAGTTTCACTTATAATTCCCAAGTATCTTGGAATACCTTAAATACCTGGTAGTTTATAATCACTTGTTGAAGAATGCTGTATCTGATGATCTTGTGGTTCAATATAACTCTGGTAGTCAAAAAGGCTTGTAATAATTTGCAGATTAGTATAAATTGGTACAGACTTGTGGTTCTAAGTAGTTCGCTCTTTCTAATGTAGAGTGAATCAGGGTTGTATTACTACTTAGTGACAGAGACAACTCCCCAAGCATTCTGTTTTCCATCAATAGGCAATCGTAAACCTCTCATCACTGAATTTGGGAAGATATTATATATTCTGCTTTTTGGAGCAAATCATAATAAAGGTGATACTTCTTAGGAGAAATGTGTTTCTAGTTTTATTGTCTATGTGTAAATTAATAATTCCTTTGATTTAAAAATTAGTGTTCCTTTTAAGACTTTAAAATGCCTCCTACATTTAGTATTTTAGAATTTGGTGAAAAGGACTATGTTCACTCCTCATAGTTTTAGTTCTGGATTATAACTGTTCCTAGCTTTTCTTTAGCTAAGTTGAATAGTATGTTTTTCATCTGTTTCCATATAGTAAACTTCCCATATCTTATATCACTAAACATTACTGGACTATTATGTAACCTTGGGCAAGTTCCCTAACCTTTTTGAGCCTCAGTTTCTCCATCTATAAAAAGGAGATAGTAGTACCTACCTAGAGTTGTTGAGAGGGTTAAATAACATACTCTAAATAGTGTTTAGCACTGTACCTGGCCTATGTTAAGTGCTCCATAAATTTTAGCTGCCATCAATATCATGATTGTATCATCATCATCATCATTATCAACTTCCAACTTCCAAAGTTCAAAATAAAGTGTGAATCCTCTTAATGGGGGTGGGGGCTGCAGATTTTTTTCAAGGGCTTTATGTATCCATAGCCTCCAAAAATGTTTTGTAAACTGAATAACTAATATGACTGATATATAAAAATGACTATTTTTCAAAATAAATACAGGTGATATTGTGAATAATAAAATACATATTCATTTAAAATTGTTAAAGAATTCACAAAAACATTTTGACATTATTATTCTCAGTTCCTGAACACTAAAAGTTAGATTTGAATTTTTTTAATGTTAAAAGGGCATCCACAAGCTTGACATAGTTGAACTCCATTGTCATTATCATTTTAGTCTTTCTTCTGTTGACTTTTTCCAATTTTATTTTGTCTGCTTTTGTGGTTTGATGATCCAGACCACATAAGTACCTTTATATGCACCACAGCTTCATACAAAGTGTGGGTGTTGTTTTCTTTTTGTTTCTCATATACTAACTGATGGCATCCAGTTGTTTGTTGGTATTTGGCTACTGTCAAAATATGAACTGATGCTGGGATGGATCTAGCATGGCTCTTCTCTACTTTATACTGGGCAGCGGTGATAGTGGTCGCCTCTGGTTTGCATGTAGAGTTAGGGGTTCATTCTCCCCCTCCTGCGACTCCCTCAAATAGCACATATCATACTTTTGTTCAGCCTAATTTGGTTGCAAGTGACAGAAACCCAACTCAGACTAGCTTAGGCAGAATGAAGAAGTTATTGGAAGAATTCCAAAGCAAAAGACGTCCCGACCAAACCATGGGAAAGGCAGTTACAGCTGGGCTCCCGGGATCCAAACTCCACCAGAACGATACCCCTGTCCCTCCTGTCTCTGCTGACAGACTTGTCTCATAGGGCAAGGAACAGCGCTGCCACAGAGCTAACCAAGCCATGCCCTCTCTGGTTCCATGTTCAGAAGTCTTAAAGAAAAGGCTTTGAATGGCCTGTATTATGTCAGGTGCCCTTCCCTGGACTGATCAGCTACAGTGGCCCAGCTTGGGTCAGGTGCTAGCTCCAGATCAAACTGGAACTCTCCAGGGAAATCACATCATTAGAATGCAGGGAGGATCATGTCCCTGAAGATGTGGAGATCAGTGATATGTAGTAGAAAACAGCAATCCTCCGTAATATTGTGTGTGTTTTTAAGTATGTTTTTACTGATTTTAGGGAGAGAGGAAGGGAAAGAGAGAGAGAAACATTAGTGTAAGAGAGAAACATTGATCTGTTGCTTCCAAACATGCCCTGACCAGGGATCAAACCTTCAACCTGGGTGTGTGCCCTGACTGGGAATCTAACAGTCCACCTTTTGGTGCATGGGATGACACTCAACCAACTGAGCCACACCAGCCAGGGCTGTAATATTGTTTTGTGATTATCAGTACCTTATACATTCTTCCAGTTAACTACAATATGAGTTCTTAGAGGAAGATATCTGTATCCCCAGACCTAGAACAGCATCTGTTGCAAATTATTTTTAATAAATCATAAACTAATGAATTACTATAATACGTTATGGTATCCAAAGATATATAAGGTTTTTGTCATATATTGTCATTTCATATCATAACGAGTGAAAATAACCTAACTGTTCTGAATTCTATTCCTGGCCCATTCATTTATGAGTCACCAAACTACGAGCTTCAGTCTCTTCCTATGTGAAATGGAGAGCATCTCTGATCTTTGACCATCCCTGTTTAGAGAAGTGAATTTGCATTGAAAGTTAAAATACTATATTACATGCACATAAAAATTACATACTTTTCAGAGTTTGCTGTATCTTTATCACATCCTTACCTGTGGACAGAAAATATAAAAGTTGTCATTGTTGGCTGCACCAATCAGAATACCTACTTCTAGCATCTTTTCTGCTCTGCTCAGAGGGGCACATATAATAGATTTGTCTCCTAGTTGGAGTTTATGGGCTTTAAATTTAGTCCTTAATAGTGATTCCCACAGGTAAATCTGCGCTCCAAATGAGTTATAAAGTGTTTTAACCTCCCTGAACGTTTCTCTGTGTCCTTATTCCCGGTTTTTAGGTTTTTGTCAAGCGGGAAAGGATTTGCGTTTGGTGTCTCTGTGTATGGAACAAATTGACATCCCAGCAGGATTCCTTCTGGTGGGGGCTAAGTCTCCCAATCTTCCTGAACACATCCTAGTGTGTGCTGTAGACAAGCGATTTCTACCAGATGATCATGGAAAAAATGCACTTTTAGGTGAGTATTTCACACCTATAATAGTCCTTCCAAGATGAAGGAGTTAAAATACAAGTTTATTTTGAATTGTAACAGAACTTTTTAAAAATTGCAGAATTAGTTGAGGAATATACAGGATGTGGCAAAAGTAGGTTTACTGTTCTGAGTAGCTGAAACAGTTTATTCTTGTATTATTATTTATTATTTATTGTATTATTTTCCATACAAACAAATGTAAACCTACTTTTGCCCCACCCTGTATAGTTTAGTTCCAGTCTGAAACATTTTTTCCTTTTATTAACTTCCTAAAAGTTAGCTTTTATTTTTTATTCATTCTCAAAACACTTGCTTTAATGAAGAGACTTTTAAAAACCAGACATTAAAGGACACCATGCAATTATTAAAAATTAATATTTTGTAAAACCAAGTAGGATTCACTCTCTATAGTCACTGATCTGGACCTGATGTCAAATCAGTTCTCAATTATTCGGCTGTGGATTATCTACTTTGTAAGTTATTTGTAGTTTTTGCATACCACCCATTATTTATGACTATACTTGGTTGATGTGATTCTCATTTTATATTTAGCATTAGTTCATCCAAAATAACCAGGAATATAGCGTAAAATAACATATACTTTTATCTCAGAATTGTTTTACTTTCTGGTGTAATGTATTTTATTTACATCCACGTGACTATTTTGTAACTATCAAATTGTACTTCTTAATCCCTTCACCTTTTTCACCCAGCCCCACAACCCCCTCCTATCTGGCAAACCCTCAGTCTGTTCTCTGTGTCTATGAGTTTGTTTGTGTTTTGTTTGTTCATTTGTTTTCTTTTTTATATTCCACATATAAGTGAAATCATATGGTATTTGTCTTTCTCTGACTTATTTCTCTTAGCATAATGCCCTGTAAGTCTATCCATTGGTTGCTTCAAATGGTAAGATTTTGTTCTTTTTTATTGCCAAGTAATATCCCATTGCATATATGTACCGAATCTTCTTTATCCAATCATCTATGGATGGGCACTTGGGTTGCTTCCATATCTTAGCTATTGCAAATAATGCTGCAATAAACATAGGGATGCACATATCTTTTCAAATTAGTGTTTTGGATTTCTTCAGCATTTACCTAGAAGTGGAATCACTAGGTTATACAGAAATTCCATTTTTAATTTAGGGGGAATCTCCATAGTGTTTTCCACAGTGGCTGCACCAATTTGCAATCCCACAGTGGTGCACAAGGGTTCCCTTTTCTTCACATTCTCACCAACACCTGTTGTTTGTTGATTTATTGATGATAGCCATTCTGACAGGTGTGAGGTGATATCTCATTGTGGATTTCCATTTCTCTGACTATTAGTGATGCTGAGCATTTTTTCATATGTCTATTGACTGTCAGATGTCCTCTTTCGAGAAGTTCTATTCAGGTCTTCTATCTATTTTTTAATGAGATTGGTTTTTGGATGTTGAATTGTATGAGTTCTTTATAAATTTTGGATATTAACCCCTTATCAGATGTATCATTGGCAAATGTATTCTCCCTTTCAGTAGATTGTCTTTTCGTTTTGTTGATGGTTTCCTTTGCTGTACAAAAACTTTTTAGTTTGATGTAGTCCCATTTGTTTATTTTTTTCTTCTGGTTTCCTTGCCTGAGGAGATACATCAGAAAAAATGTTGCTAAGAGCAAGTCAGAGAGTATGCTGCCTATGTTTTCTTTAGTAGTTTTATGATTTCAGGTCTTATATTTAAGTCTTCAATGCATTTGGAGTTTATTTTTGTATATGGTGTGCAAAGGTGGTCCAGTTTCTCTTCCCCCCCCCATGTATCTGTTCAATTTTTCCAACACCATTTATTGAATAGATTGTACTTACTCCATTGTATATTCTTGCCTCTTTTGCCATATATTAATTGACCATCTAGGCATGGTTTAGTTCTAGGCTCTCTATTCTGCTCCATTGATCTATGTGTCTGTTTTTATGCCAGTACCATGCTGTTTTGATTCCTATAGCCTTATGGTATTGATATTTGATTACTATAGCCAGATGTCATTGATATTTTGAGAGGGATTGCATTGAATCTGTAGGTAGCTTTGGGTGGCATGGGCATTTTAACCATGTTAATTCTTCCTACCCATGAGCATGCTGTATGCTTCCATTTATTGGTATCTTCTTCAATTTCTTTTTTCAGTGTCTTATAATTTTTTGAGTACAGATCTTTTACCTCCTCTGTTAAATTTATTTCTAGACATTTTATTTTTTGATGCAACTGTAAATTAGATTGTCTTTTAAATTTCTCTTTCTCATAGTCTGTTATTGGTATATAAAAATGAAATTGATTTCTGAATATTAATTTTGTATCCTGCTACTTTACTGAATTCATTGATCAGTTCTTTTAGTTCTTTGGTAGAATATTTAGGGTTCTCTATTTATAGTATTACGTCATCTGCAAATAATGGCAGTTTTACTTTTTCTTTCCAGATTGGATGACTTTTATTTCTTTTATTGTCTGATTGCTGTGGCTAGGACATCTAACACTATGTTGAATAAAAGTAGTGAAAGTAGACAACCTTGTCTTGTTCCTAATATTAAAGAAAACCCTTTCAGCTTTCCTCGTTTAATATGATGAAAACACAACTAACAAAATCTATGGGTTTTCCTCCTTTCAGGGTTTTCTGGAAACTGTATCGGCTGTGGAGAAAGAGGATTTCGGTATTTCACGGAATTTTCCAACCACATTAACTTGAAGCTCACCACCCAGCCAAAGAAGCAGAAGCACTTAAAGTACTACCTAGTCAGAAGCTCCCAGGGTGTACTGTCGAAGGGACCTCTTATCTGCTGGAAAGGTAGCACCAACTTCTGGGAGGAAAAGGGAGGCAAAGGGAACAAGGATGTTACCATAATGACAAGTGGCTCAGGCAGGGTTCAGAATTCAGGTGTGATACAGATAAATATCCCAAGTTCAGAATGCTATCCAAAAATCCAAAGCCCTCTGACAGGTTATTAGGTTTGCTTTTGATTTTTATTTATTTTATTTATTTATTTTTATTTTTTTAATATATCTTTATTGATTTCAGAGAGAGGAAAGGAGAGGGAGAGAGAGAGACAGAAACATCAGTGATGAGAGAGTCATTGATTGGCTGCAGCCCGAAACCCGGGCATGTGCCCTGACCGGGAATCGAACCCTGATCGCCTGGATCCTAGGTCGACGCTTAACCGCTGAGCCATGCCCGGCCGGGCTGCTTTTGGTTTTTAAATAGAGCCTATTCAAGTTCAGGAAAGTGCATGTCTTCATGTATTTGTCTCTTGGGAAGGTGGAGTGTAGCTCTTTCCAGAGGGTGGGTGAGGGTGGTGGACTCTTTCTGTCATTTGGAGAGGACCTCAAAGTGTCAGTTTCCTGGTTCCATGCTCTTTCTACTTTATTTAATAGGTTCTTTGGTCATTTTCAAGCATCTATATTTTTCTGTTTTAATTAGAACTAAGCGTACTTTAGAATAAATAATGCTCTCTTCATAATACCTGGGAAATTGCACTGTCAGTTGACAAAGTTTTATTTCCTTTTAGTTAGGAAGAACTTAACTAGCTTATTTATAGGAATGAATCCAGTGGAAATGTCACATCTTCATGTGTTTGATAGAATTTAACACAAGTTCTAGTCATTATTCTAATGCAGTGGAATCTTTATTCTTTGAGCAGTTTCTTAGATGCTGAGATTTTTTTCCATTATTTATATCACTATTTTAAAGACAATATAATAATTGTTTTTAATGTTTCTATTTGTCGTCTGTGAAATATTTTGGCCTGACCATGAAAAAGAGCATAATAAATTCAAATTACAACTGCAGATTTGCCTGAGTCTTTGACCGTAATTATGTGGGTTGCATTTGAAGTGACACTGTATAACTCCTTTGGAAATGGCTATGTGTTCCAAACCAGGTATCAGCTTAAAGCTTGTGACCACTGAATCGTAAGCATGGTGTGTTATAAATAACTCTTTGTTCTAATAAAATTTAAAGAATTTTCCTCTAGAAAAAAAATATTTTAAATGTCATGAACACTAATAAAAGAGCAAAAATAGGATAGGTATTGCCTCCCTGCCTTTTTTTGTGTTTTTTTGTTAATCTTCACCCGAAGACTCACTTTTTGATTTTAGAGAAAGGGGAAGGAAGAGAGAGAGAGAAACATCTATGTGAGAGAGAAACATCACTCAGTTGCCTTGAGAGAAACACCAGTCGGTTGCCTTCCCTTATGCTGCCCAACCAGGGATCTAACCCTCAATGTAGGTATGTGCCCTGACCGTGAATCAAACCCTCAACCTTTAGGTGTATGGGATGACGCTCCCACAAAGCGAGCCACACCAGCCGGGGCACCTCACAGCCTTTTAACTGTCTTTTTCAGCTTTTGTTTTAGTTGCATAAAATATTTTTAACTTCTTATTTAGTGCTCTATGGCAATTCATCTTTCTGGGAAAGAATATCTGTGAAATAGTTTGTGATACAGTGGGTGGCTTCTGAAGCCTCAAATTTATAGCAGTTGCTGTTTTGGAATTGGAATTGTGTATGTCTATATACACATATACTAACATATAATATCAATTTTAAAATATATACACATAATGTGGAACTATCTTCTTAGGCCAAATACAATAGCTCTTTAAGGAAGGTCATACAGAAGGTGATAGAAAACTGCCTCCAGTCCTTGCATGTGTCTGATAAACTTGGACTCTCTCTAAATGAATCTATATAATTAACTTTTTCATTTACAACCATTTATTATTATTTAATTAAATTTATTGGGGTGACATTGGTTAATAGAATCATATAGGTTTCAAGTATATATTTCTGTGATACATGATTGTATATTACATTGTGTGCCCACCACTCAAACCATCTTCTTTCACCATATATTTGGCCCCCTTTAACCTCATCTTCCACCACCACCCCTTTCCTTCTGGTAACCACCATACTGTTATCTCTGTCTATGAGTTTCAGTTTTATATCCCACATATGAGTGAAATCATATGGTTCTTAGCTTTTTCTGACTTATTTTGCTTAGCATAATATTCTTAAGGTCCGTCCATGTTATTGCAAATGGCAGTATTTCATCTTTTCTTATGACTTAGTAGTATTCCATTGTATCTATGTACCACATCTTCTTTATTCAATCTTCTATCGAAGGATACTTTGGTTGTCTCCATGTCTCAGCCACTATGAATAATGCTACAGTGAACAGAGGGGTGCATATATCTTTGTAAATAAACGTTTTGAGTTTTTCCGGTAGATATCCAGGAGATGGATTGCTGGTCATATGGTAAGTCTGTTCTAAATTTTATGAGGAACCACCATACACTGTTTTCCAGAGTCACTGTACCAGTTTACATTCCCACCAGCAGTGAATGAGGGTTCCTTTTTCACTCCAACCTCTCCAACACTTGTTATTAGTCTTATTGATAACAGCCATTCTAACAGGTGTGGGGTGGTATCTCATTGTGGTTTTGATTTGCATTTCCCTAATGGCTAGTGAAGTTGAATATCTTTTCATATATCTGTTGGCCATTTGTATGTCTTCTTGGGAGAGGTATCTGTTCAGGTCATCTGCCCATCTTTTTATTGGATTATTTTTTTTGTTTGGTGTTGAGTTGTATGAATTCTATATATATTTTGGATATTAACCCTTTGTCAGAGCTGTTGTTTGCAAATGTCATCTCCCATATGGTTGGTTGAATGGGAAATGATATTGAAGCATCTAAAGATGGACAAGTGGGAACAAATGGGGGAGGCAGAAGGCCAAAGGGCTGAGATGAGCCAGGCAGCCCTGCAGTCAGGAGCTCACAGCAGGTCTCAGCCTAGAGAGGGTGAGGAATCTGGATGTGGCTGATGTTCTCTTCAACCAGGAGGTGCTGAGAGATTCGGTGGACATTCCTGCAGGAGGGAGCAGCACGGGTTGTGGCTGAGCCTAGAGCCCAGACAAAGGACACAGCATAGGGGTGTGGCCACAGTTGTCTACAGAGGGCATCCAGACTAAGAAACAAAATCACGGAGCCCTGCCACCCAGTAGCCTCCCAGAGCTCACCTCCCTTTGTGCTTGGTGTTGGGTTACAGAGTACATTATCTATAACCAAGAACTAATACTACAGAACCACTATTTTCCCTGAGCTAAAGGTTTACTCTATGACTGGTCCTGGGTCAGGACGTAGGGGGTACCTCATGGAGGTCTAAGGTTGCCATTACTGGGAGGGTAAAACAAAGAAGGTGGCAGAGTTCCTCCAACCTGCCCCACCCCCAACAATTGCGGCTACACTGACAGCAGCCAGAGATTCTGCAGAGGTCAGCTCTGGGATTTCACAGAGCTAAAAAACTTGTGATTCAGTGCCACCTACTGGAAAATAATAGAAAGACCTCTTTATATTAATCTACTAGAGAAATGCCACTCATACATAGATGCCTAGACAGAGAAGGAATCCATCAAATACCATGAATAACCAAGGTAATGAGGCAGTTCAGGAAGAAAATGAAAAATCTCCGGAAAGTAAACTTAAACACATGGAAATATGTGATATAAATGACAGAGAACTCAAGATTGCAGTTCTGAAAATACTCAACGAGATGTGAGAAAACACAGATAGGCAATTTATTGTGCTCAGAAAACAAAATAACAAAATGATTACTTTACCAAAGAGTTTTAAATTTTAAAAAAGAACCAAACAGAACTTCTGGAGGTGAAGAACTCAATAAAAGAGATGAAGTATCAAATAACGAGTAGGGAATAGAGCAGACCAGATGGAGGAGCAAACAGACCATCTAATTACTGATAGTGAAGATAGAAACCTAGAAATGATTCAGAGGGAAGAAGAGACTTGAGCATTTTTTAAAAATCAAAGAACTCTACGAGAACTGGCTATATCAGAAAGACCAATGTAAGAACAATAGGCATACCAGAAGTAGAAGAGAGGGAGAAGGGACCAAGAGCCTATTTAAAAAAAAAAAAAAAATAGTTGATGAGAACTTTCCAAACTCATGGAAAGAGCTAGATCCTCAAATCCAAGAGCAAACAGGACACTTAAGTATCTCAATCCAAAAAGGCCTTCTCCAAGGCATATTTTATTAAAACTGTCAAAAATTAATGACAGCCCTGGCCTTGTTTGGCTCAGTGGTTAGAGTGTTGACCTGTGGACTAAAGGGTCCCGGGTTTGATTTTGACCAAGGGCACATACCTCAGTTGCAGGCTCGATCCCTGGCCCTGGTTGCAGCTCTTGCAGGGGGCAACAAATCAATGTTTCTCTCTCACATCAGTGTTTCTCTCTCCCTTCCACTCTCTCTGAAAAGCAATGGAAAAAATATCCTCGCATGAAGAATAAAAAAATTTAAAAAATTAATGACAAAGATAGAATTTTGAAGGCAGGTATGGAAAAGAAGAAAGTAACCTATAAAGGAAGCCCATTAGGTTGTCATCAGACTTCTCAGTAGAAACTCTACAGGCCAGAAGAGATTGGAACCAAATATTCAAACTACTGAGAGAGAGAAATTACCAGCTAAGAATAATATATCCAGCAATTTTATCCTTTAATTTTGAAGGGGACATAGAGACGTTTCCAGACATACAGAAACCAAAGGAATTTATCACCAGAAGACCTCAATTGCAGGAAATACTCAAGGGGATTAGCCTACCTGAAACAAAGAATTTTATTTGTCACAAAACTTCGGATAAGATCACCAAAAAACTTACAGTAAAAACAGGGATAATCTGTGACAACAAAAACATAGAAGGGGAGGGGTAAAGTTCGGAATTTGCAAAAGTGGATGGAGATCGGACACATTTAAAAGAAAAAGGACTACTGTATATATGAAACTTTCTTTTTCATAAATATAATGGTAACCACACACAAAAAACCCAAGCCAAGACACATAGCTTAAAAAGAGAGGAATCAGGAGAAAGAAGTATGAAACACCACCAAACAAAAACAACAGGCAGAAACACAAAGGAAAAGAACCAATGGAGGCACAGAGCTACTGGAAAATAAAGGACAAAATGGCAATAGGAAATCTGACAAAACAGATTTCAAGATATCAAAGGTAACAAAAGACAAAGATGGATGTTTTATAATGATAAACGGGACACTACATCAAGAAGACATAACACTTCTTAATATATAAGCACCCAGTCAGGGAGCGCTGTAATATATAAAGCAACTGCTAACAGAACTAACGGGAGAAACTGACAAAAACACAGTCATAGTTGGGGACCTCAGTATTCTACTGATAGCTCTAGATAGATCATCCAAACTGAGAATCAATAAAGAAATATCAGCCTTAAAAGACACATTAGACCAAATGGACATAATTGGCATTTACAGAGCCTTTCATCCCAGACCATTAATTATACATTCTTCTCTGGTACACATGAAACATTCTCAAGGATAGACCATATGTTGGGTCACACAACTAGCCTCATCAGTTTCAAGAAGATTGAAATTATACCAAGCATATTTTCTGACCACAATGCTTTGAAATTAGAAATCAACTACAAAAGGAAGTAAAGAAACTCACAAACATGTGGAGATTAAACAACATACTACTAGAAAATGACTGGGTCAAATAAGAAATAAAAGGTGAGATCAAAAGATATGTAGAGACAAATGAGAATGACAGAATGACATATCAAAACTTCTGGGATGCAGAAAAGCATAATAAGAGGGAAGTTTATATCATTACAAGCCTATCTCAAGAAACAAGAGAAATCCCAAGTAAATAACCTAATATTACATCTTTCAGAACTAGAAAAAGAAGAACAAAAGCATCTCAAAGTCAACAGAAGAAAAGAATTAATAAAAATTAGAGCAGAATTGAATGAAATTTTGAACAAAAAGAATATACAAAAAATTAATACGGCAAACAGAGGTTCTTTGAAAAGATTAATAAAATTGATAAATTCCTGGCTAGGCTCACTAAGGATAAAAGAGAAAAGACTCAGAGGAGAAGTTACCACAGACATCACAGATATATAAAGGATCATACTAGAATATTACGAGGACTATATGCCACCACATTCAATAACCTGAAAGAAATTAATAAGTTCCTAGAAATATATATAACCTTCCTTGACTGAATCATGAAGAACTGGAAAATCTAAATAGATCACCCAGCCAGGCATGGCTCAGTGGTCTAGCATGGACCTAGGATCCAGGATATCGTGGTTCATTTCCTGGCCAGGGCACATGCAGGGTTGCAGGCTCCATCCCTAGCGGGGCGTGTATAGGAGGCAGCTGATCAGTGAGGACTCTCTTGTCATTGAGGTTTCTCTCTCCCCCCTCCCTCCCTCCCTCCCTCTCCCTCT